GACTCGACTGTGCTCCCGAAAATTCAATCATCCGCCCTGCTCAATGACGAGAAGACAGGTCTGCCCGCGAACGGCACCACTACGAAAGACACCGTGGTGAACGACGATCCTGAGGATGACCGAATGCCCAGAGGTAGTGCCGTCAGGCAAGTCCTGGCCGCTCTGGTTGCCCAGCTTGGTACCATCAACACGGGCATGGCATTCGGTTTTTCTGCCATCGCCCTACCACAACTCCAAGAGCCCGACAGTATCATTCCCATCAAGGAAGGATCGACGGAGGAATCGTGGATCGGTAGGTAGTCGAGAAGAAATAAAATCTACAACCTTTTCTGTTCCCTTCTTTTTTTACGATTCTTTTTTCCCATAGATAAATGATTTTCTTTCAAAATTGTATAGTTGTTGCAAAATTGTAAAATTGCAGAATTTATATAGTTTACGAATCACCATGATATCATATTACGTTATCATGAACCACTGTTAATACCAATGTTTCATGAACATTGCATTAACTTCATCAGAGCGAAGAGCAAACCCATACTTTCACAACAGCAAACTTTCTACCTATATTGCAGCATCATTGCTGCGATATTGCTGCAATATAGTTGCAAAGTTTGTGCTGTATGGGAATTGATATTGAATTGCTTCTGCAAAACATTGACAATTTTGAAAGAAATACTCGTGAAAATCTAAAAAATATCATTGATTCTCTCTTCTTCTTTGCAGCTAGCATGTCCTCTATCGGCACACCGATCGGTTGTTTGACGTCCGGCTATATGATGGACATGTTCGGCAGGAAGCGCTCGCTCATCATTACGGAAATCCCGGCGCTACTCGGATGGATGCTGATCACATTCGCAACCGACATACGCATGATGTACGCCGGGCGTTTCTTCGTCGGTTTGGGATCGGGCATGGTGGGCGCGCCAGCTCGCGTCTATACGAGCGAAGTTACGCAGCCGCATCTACGAGGGATGCTGACCGCATTTGCGAGCGTTGGCGTCAGCACCGGGGTGCTGATCGAGTATGCTCTAGGAAGCATGCTCACGTGGAACTTGTGCGCCGCGATCAGCGGTATCCTGCCGCTCACCGCATTACTATTGATGTTCTTCTTCCCGGAGACCCCCTCCTACCTCATATCGCGCAGCAAGCAGGACCAGGCGAAGCAGGCGTTGCAAAAGTTCCGCGGCAGTACTTATAACGTGAATCGGGAAATGGAGACATTGGTGGAGTTCTCCAACAAGAATAATATCAAGCGACTCACCGGTTTCCGCGAGATCGTATGTGCTCTACTGAAGCCTAGCGCGCTTAAGCCATTCACTCTACTGTTTCTGTACTTCCTGATATACCAGTGGTCAGGCACCAATGTTATAACTTTCTACGCTGTTGAGATTTTCAAGGATTCAGGGGGCGAGCATGAACAAGTACTTAGCGGCGGTCATCCTGGGGATAGGTTAGGCTTTAGGTTCCACGTATCGTTGCTTGCGTCCTATGCAGAA